ATAAGGCATCTGAATTATAAATTTCACACTTATTCTGATTATGTTACAGGCTGCTGAAATCATAAAGTAACGTCCTTAGAAAATAGACGTACTCTCTTAGATATGACGTATAGCTAATGGCTACCTAGATCCCCCGGTATTACTATCTGCAATAAATGTAAATGTAGCCAAGAGGCTTACAAGAAACACCCCATTATTCGCTCCCAACGCTCGAAATTTCAACTATTCAAGAAACTCATCCTTGATTCGGATTTGCTCAATATATAATAAAAAAATCGCGAATTTAGATATATTTTACATGTCCAAATATAAATTCAAACATGAAGTTCTCAAGCTTTTACGGTAAATAACTTATCTATTCGCATATTATTATAACATAAGTATATCTTTTCATGTTATTGTTTTTTTGTTTTCTTATTTTTGATATATTATAAATAAAACGTATGATAAAACTTTTATTTATATATCTATAGACCCATACCTACACGCGCACACGCACACGGACATGCACACGCACACGCACACGCACACGCACACGCACACGCACACGCACACGCACACGCACACGCACACGCACACGCACACTCACACGCACACGCACACGCACACGCACACGCACACGCACACGCACACGCACACGCACATGCACGCACGCACACACACACACACACACACGCACACACACACAATACACACATGCGCGCGTGCGCGCACGTGCACACCTTAGTCTTAGTTTATTAGCTTCACCTTGTTAGCCTTATTTTTAATTGATATGTATTAAGAGTAGAAAATGCCATTTAAGATTTATACAGGGAAACCTATAATTGGCTGTTATACTATTTATAAATTATTATCATTGTATATTCATAAGAGCGGTTGGTTTTCTAAATAAATAAATAAAAGAAAAATCATCATCTATTTTTCCAACCTTAAAAGCTAAAAGTTACTACTGTGTCCTACTGCTGGACACAGGCCTCCTCTCATTTCTGAGAGGGTTTTAGGACAAGGAAGTGTCCGCCGCGCTGCCCCACTGTGTGTTGACCGACTTCACAAATGACTTCGAAATATTTTTTTTATATTTTTTTATTTGTCAGACATGCAATGTGTTCCTCACGATGTTTTCCTTTACCGCCAGGTAACCCTTAAGGTTGGATTTATTTCCCCAAATTTATATAAAACCTCTGAAACATAACCTATTTAATAAAAAAGAATCATTAAAATCGGTTCACTATTGCCGAATATATCACGAAACATACATAAAAACAGATGAATTGAGAAATTTCTTTTTCTTTTAAGTCGACTAAAAAGAAATATCTTAACTAACACTGACCCACACAAATACGGAATATTGTTTCCAAATAATTTACTGCAATCAACTTGCTTCGAAACGTAGGAAAAGAAGTTAGCAACTTACATTGTCTATGTCGGCGCGGAATGCTAATGCTAATTTACTGAATAATACCCAACTTATATTTCCTCGAGGTGACATGCTATAGGTTCCTAAATTTAGATTGACTAAAATAAGAGAGTATATTCTAAGTAAATGCATAAAATGTTGCTATAAAATCTCTAAAAATATAATGCACAAAATTTAAAAAAAACTTATCTAACATAAAAATAAAAAAATAATAAACTTGTTATAGAAATTTTATTAAAAAGAGCTACTATAAAATTAATCAATAAATTGTAAACAGTGCTGTGTGGAAAAAGTAGGTAAGCTGCCCCTGCAAGTAGTTGTGGCTGATATGTTGTTTAAATTATAATTTAAAAAAATATATGTTATTATACACTAATTGGCTCGGCAAACATTGTTCTGCCCTTTCCTGTAGGTTTCGCGATATGTTTCAATTCGAATTACGTCTGACTATTTTTTAATTTTATTTTTTATAACAAGTGTGACAAATGAGCACACAGTTCACCTGATGGTAAGTGAATGCTGTGGCCCATAGCCATCTCTACATTTATCCTCAATTAAGAATCAAAATGCAGATGCGTAGTCATATAGACACTAAGCATTAAGATGCAGTGCCTCGTTTCCAATAAGAAGGGTCTCCAGTGTCTACACTCACCATACGGAACGCAGCAGCATCAAGCTGCTATTTAACACTGGTATTGTGTTAGAGCATGGTCCTACCCCGGTCGAGCCGACCCATTCGTGCAACAACAATATTATATCTGCAGCATGGCTCTACCACTTATAACTACATTAAAAATAAAATTTATAAATAAACGACCACGGCACCACCTATCGATCTAGCCTTTGAGATTTATTTTTTTGGCACTAAACAAACATAATATTATATTGTGACTAAGAGTTATTTGATTTGGGGGAGACCTATGTTCAGCAGTGGACTTGTGAAGGTCTGTAATGAAGAGTCATTTTGGTTCAAAAATATAGAATATGTCAATAATTTGACTGAAGCAACGCCTATCGGATACTAGCTTAGCTTTAATCTATCGTCTTCATAAAACAAATATTATATTGTGAATATAACTTCAATCGGTCAAGTCGTTCAGAAATTACGCGATCACTATCTAGCAGATGCATCAGCGATTATGTATATAAAGATTTCACACTGTATGAATTTTAATAATAGTTTTAAATTAAATTGAGACATGACATTAAACAAAAAGATCATACGTTTCTTGCCGATTATTCCCTGCGGTTTTGTTTTGTCGATCCGGTGTATTAACACATACGTCTTAATCTACACGGGATGACATGAGCTAAATTGAGTAAAAAGTTTTGACTTTGACTGATGATGATGATAATTTTATCGTGAAGGTTTAAGCTTGCCGTAAAGATCCGCGCGTCGGTACATTATAAAACGCCAAATAGTTGAAATAAACGAACGCGGCGTTTACATTACTGAGTGACACTTGGCAAGGTACATGACGCAGATATATTATTGCAATGTCCACATCCAATTATCACGTTATCTAATCGTAGAATTACATTAATGGACACTCCAACATAGATTTAAAAAAAGACACAATTTTTCGACATATTATAAAGTCATTGACATCTAACACCGAGCTTAAGTCAACAAGTAAAACAAAACCCTGTGTACGTATAAATACTATATAATGAAGTTAAAGCTTCAAAAATATAATTCCTGAGTGGATTTAACGTAAAGAAAAAATCTGTTGCGGTGCCTTTCTCTATTGGTACAATTTCTTAGACTTCACAACTTTACATTAAAACAATAATTATCAATTTCATCGAAGTTGACGAGGATCAATTTCGGTTTGCTCGCGTTTTATATTATGTATGATATTATAAAATAATGTTCTTTATGAATACTGTTTATGCTACAATTAAATAAAGACGAATAAACAAAAGATATACAAGGAACTTGAAAAGCAAGAAACAAACAGCGTTATGTCTTATTAAAGATTTTGATGTTTTTTCTGCCTAACTAACTATTACTAACCGATTCCATTAACTAATTTAAGAGTATAAGTATATCATCATCACCATCATTACAGCCCTTTACAAGTCCACTGCTGAACATAGGCCTCCCTCAAGGAATGCCACAAAGCACGATCCTGAGCCACCTGCATCCATCGACTTCCTGCATGTCTTACCAGGTCGTCACTCCATCTAGTGGAGCGACGTACATATCATAGTAGAATAAGTTTCCTTCAACATAGATTAAAATACTAAGTGCTCGGCGGTGAAGGAAAACATCGTATATCGAAGACATGTCTGTTGTATACGTGGTAGAGTCATGCTGCAGCTACATTATTATAGTTGTAGCATGATTGGGTCGGCTCGCCCGGGGAAGCACCACGGTCTCACAGAAAACCAGCGTAAAATAGGCATTCCATCTTAGTCCTCACGGGTGACAACGCATCTGCATTTTAATTCGCAAACGAAGATAGATGTAGATGTCTATGGGCCACAGCAACCACTTACCATCAGGTGGACTGTGGGCTCCTTTGTCACCCTTATGCAATAAAAAAATGTGAAGTTCGCCAACACGCATTGACATAGTTTGTATATTTTCGGATATTATAAAATAAAACTATTGTAAAAGCGTATCTACACATTATCCCATTAATTAATCACTGTCTCTGTGGAGTTGAGTGGCTGATATTACTATCTTGTAATCATTGTTTCTAGTATTTAAAATAGGTTTTCACATTAATATTAAAACTATTTTTGTTATATTTTTGTTACATGTAATATTTTTGTTTCTTTGTAAATAGTTAAAATTACTAGTATATTAAAATCATATAATAAACATATCATTAAATGTATAACTTGTTATTTTTATTTGGATAGCAAAAAAAATGCTAAAGTAAGCTACTCTCTAAGAATAAAATTACAGCTGTCGGCCATGACAGTGTCACTGGCAAGTGCAACACGCACCGGAAAAAAGACTGCCAATGTTCTATTGTAGTTAGTTTCGAACTATTCTTAGTGCGCGTACTTTTATTTCAAATATAGCTCTTTTTATCACATACATACTTTCTTTTTTTTTAAATAAGAAAACAATTATCGTAGTAAATGTAGGAACACATCTAAAAACAAAAAGTTATTAAAGTAAATCATTTTAACTAAAAAGAAGAAGAAAAATGGCAACAACTACTTATGATATTATTTTTATTTTTAATAGTATTAATTTGATTTACATTAAATTAATATAAATTTGATATCATAATGTTCTGTTGTTGTTAAGAAATTAAAAAAAAAGAAATTTAAAAAATACATTTTTGTTTTGATTTATTCTTGGGATAGAAGCTATAGTAGTTTTATAACTGTAATTAAAATAGAGCAGCCGTTCAATGATACTTGTAAAAACAATACCTCTCTTACTTTGGCTACAGAGCGTCCCAAACAGCTGCAGTGGATTTATTCACTGTTATATGTCTCGTGTTTAGTATTTGCTTGAGTTTTGTTGCTTCTTATTGTTATTATACATACCGACACAATAATTCTATAGTTGTTACCATGAACAAATCATAATTTATTCGCAAAGATATCATATCATCAATTAAATCCTTTCTGTAAAATTAATATGGTCATACAATGGCTCATTGTTATCAAGGTGGAAGTAAGGTACAGATTCCGCGTCGAATATCCAAGAAAGTGTAGATATATTTGAATCCATCGAACGTATTGTAGAATCTTTATCATAGTGGTGTCGTAATCGCCACTGTGCGAGCTGATCCTCGCTCGGTTGTATTGCTGAAATGTAACTTGGACTACTGTTGGTGCTTCTTGTAGAATTCATCCGCACAAATTTCCAAGGCGAACTGTTAATATGAGGAGATACTATAAATATATTTCTGCTTTTGTCACTTGACGAGCACATGCCAGTTAAATTATTTCTTGAAGGTATTTTAGGTGGGAGCACTAATGCATCCACCTGCTTATGTTTCACAAAGAGAACTCTCTTGCTTCCTTTTAAAAGACCTGGATTTTTACGGATGAGCCAGTAAACGCAAAGAGCCCCACTTGAAAGACAAATAAAAGCGGTTAGTATGTATAGTAATGAGGTGTTATGGTTGAATGAACTGTTAAATTTGGATAAGTCATAAACTACGCATTCTTCGTTAAGAATTGTCCCATTTTTGGTACGACAAAATGTGTAATAAGCGTTATTATTTACATTGTAGACTCGCAGAACTTTTGGTAAACTGGACACGCAATAAACTTCTTTAGGACATGCTGATCGAAACCAAATGAGACTATAACTGGATGGACCAAAGAGGTCTATTTCCACGAGTGAATACAAGTGGCTTTTTGAATAAAATATTGGTTTAATCCAACTACTGCTCTTCGTTAATAACTCAGAAACAGCATTTGATGCCAGTGGTACTAATTCAATATTATGAATTCTATTATTAAGGCATTGATATTCAGAAAATGGTGATATCAATGTAAATAATTCACTATCGGTTTGTTTATTATGACCGTCGCATGTTAATTTACTGTTCATGTTAAAGGTTTTATTGCTTTTGTATTCATACAAACGATTGGTACCGTTTGTATCTGAGATAATGAGTTCTGTTTGTGAATAGTTAGTGCAGTAATTCTCAAATTCTGTAAATGTAAATCCTCGAATTTCTATTGGATAATAGCATGATGGTTCCACTATCAGTAAGTCCTGAAGATGTAGATTCCTCAAGTCATTATTAGAACATTGGCAAATCCAAGGATTATCTTGCAAATTTATTCTTGGTTTGTGTTCCAGCGATAATAATACATTAAATAAACCTTCAGGAACCTGATAAATATGATTGTTATTAAGAAATAAAATTTGCAAATTCATTAAACGATCGAAAGTACCGTTTCCTATAGATGTTATTTTACACGAATTTAAATATAATATTTTACAGTTTTGTAATTCATAAAAACTGCTTTCATCAAGGACATCAAGAAAATCATTTTTAGAAAAATCAACGGTCGTTAGCTTTATAAGATCTGCTGTTCCAGTAACGTTGGTAGGATTCCAAATATTGGTAGCCTTAATGTCTAAGGTTTTCAAGGTATCATCAATAGTCCTCAATGCACTATAATGGATATTTAACAGTTTACAGTTCTTGATGAATAGTTCTTTGAGATTAGAAAGTCCAATAAATGTTTCTGGAACCCACGATGTTATAGTAATATCTTCCAAAAATAAACTCCTTACGTTAGTGGCAAATGGGCTCATAAACGCATGTGGAGGTATTTGATTAAGATTTCCACCTATAACGCTTACTGTTCTGATATTAGATCTCATATCGGATAACCAATTTAAAGGTAATATTGAGTTAACAAACATTGGATTTTTAAGTATCAAAAATATTGTTTTACAATTCGATTCCGCCTCCTGTAAACGTAAAAAGAAGTATTTTAAATTCATGTGGTGTAATAATAAACAATTCAATAAGTAATTTTACTATTATCATGTAAAAGAGAAAGAAATACCATAGCAGCATTAATTATATCCTCTTCATAGTTATTGTAGTATGGCACACCATTACATTGCACTCTACAACGATCTATTAAGCAACGATTTTGTGGGTTTGGCCTATTACTGGGCGCTCGATAAAATGCCATATTAACAATAAGCACAAAGCTCACAACTGTTATAATGCCAAATGTTGTTTGTACTACTAGGCGCAACCAGCCACGACTGCATGATGTATTTCTATAAAAAAAAAATATCAGTATCCATTAACTGACTAAGAGTAATTGAGATTCATATTATTAGGTCTTGAGATAAAAAGTATACTATTAATTTGTCACTGGCATTTAACTTTAAAAATATAATATGTAAGTTTCTAAAGTTATTAATTTTATCAAAACAAAAACAGACTTTTCTGTATCCCTCAAAACATCGAAACAAACAAAATCAGAGCTATTTAATAATTATACAGGCATAACAAAAGAAGGCGTGTGGTGTTGCCATTAGAAAAAATAACCGCTCATTTTATTTACGGGACACATTCAAATTATTTTTTGTAATAATTTTGAGGTACAAAAGCCCTCGGGAACAGTGCGGAAACACTTTCTGTTTTCCTTGATGACACTGGCACGCTAGTCATTTGGACAAGTTACATGCCTACAGCTTGTCCATCAGATCGACTAAATGACGGACACTTTCTGAGTGAACGGTGTGTACAAGCTATCGTGGAGAGCTGCTCTACCTATGACGCCGGAGTTCCTCAGAGGTCTATTCTTACAACAGCTCTCTACCTGCAGCATATTAATGATATGTTTACGCTCGGAATATATATTATGTACCGTACGGAATGTTGGGGCAGCCATGCTGCAGCTATATTAGTAGTATAGTTGTAGCACGAATGGGTCGGCTCGACCGGAGAAGGACCACGCTCTCACAGAACACCAACGTAAAATATCAGCTTAACGCTGCTGTGTTTCGTATGGTGAGTGTAGAGAACCGGATACCCTTTTAACTAGACACGAGGCATTACATCTTAGTCCTCACTGGTGACAACGCATCTGCATTTTGATTTGTAGTCGAGAAAAGATGTAGATGTCTATGGGCCACAGCAACCACTTACCATCAGGTGGACTGTGCTCGTTTGTCAACCTATCCTATAAAAAAATCTTTCTCTGCAGACAGTTCTTGAATATGCCGATTCTAATCTTGTGAGATTTATCGCCTTCCAATCTCAAGCGTGTCTCTTCACCGCAAAAAGGATCCTGCTTACCATAACGTCTACTTTCTCGGATTATCATCGTCGAAATGCCTTAGAGCTTTGATGATCGGTAACTCAGTGAGTGATAAAATTAAGAAACTGACTAGTTATAATTCTTAAACTACTGGTTCAAACTGAATGAAATTTGAAATATACCGTGTTTGTACAATGCATGCTTGGTTACTGAATTCAAGTTTCTAGTTTTATCCAAAACGAAGTTATAGGGGGGGTCGTAAATGGCCTGCTGCTTCGAGAAAAGGATGGTACGGCCATGCCGCTTTTTTGCTCGACTTGGCGGTGGCACTGCCGTGCCCCCAGATTACATTTTTTTTTTATAGGATAGGGTGACAAACGAGCACACAGTCCACCTGATGGTAAGTGGTTACTGTGACCCATAGACATCTACATCTATCATCAATAAAGACTCAAGATGCAAATGCGTTGCCACCCGTGAGGACTAAGATGGAATGCCTCTTTGCCAGTAATAAGGGTCTCCGGTTCTCTACACTCACCATACGAAACACAACAGTGTTAAGCTGCTATTTTACGCTGGTTTTCTGTGAGAGCGTGGTCCTTCCCCGGTCGAGCCGACCCATTCGTGCTACAACTATACTACTAATATAGCTGCAACATGGCTCTACCACGTGAAATTATGGGACGATAAGTGGCTACTACAGCAGATGCCTGCAGCCAATATCAAACAAGGAAGACTACAGATGCGCTGTCACATCTGAGAACTAAGATGGAATGTTTCACAGCCTGTAATTGTACTGGCTCTCTATATCCTACAAACCCGAACACAGATCACAGCGCACAGAACAAAATACCTGCCCAGATAGACGCCCGAGGCGAAAAAAGAATCCTTGCACTTAGGAAAATATTCTAACACATATAGTGGGTTTATAATTATATCTAAAACTGGAGCAAAGCCGTTTAAGCCTTTCAAAATACAAAAAAAAACAAACTTGAAAATCACTAAATAAGCATTTATAAGTATAAATATATAAATTGTATAGATATGTTATTGTTCCAATGAAATGAAATGAAAATATAATTGTGTATTATATTTTCATTTCATTTGGAATTCTTAATAAATAAATAGTTATAGAGCTTTACCATTTCGGTCTATCTGATTCTTTATAATTGAAATTTAATTAAATAAATACCAAATTATTACCTTACAAAAGATGAAATCGTGTTATTTTTTTCATGAAATTGTCTTTCAACAATCTCCATAGTTTTATCTAAAACACTTTTACGGAATTTTTGACGGATTTTTTTACAAATACTGCAATATGTTATGAATATTATGTCGATGGATTGACTGGATAATAAAGCTCCTGAAAGTGAAAACGAACTGATATACACAATCGTCCTTTCCACTAATCTGTATCGCGATAAAATTGTGACAGTAAAATTATATCAGAAGTGTAATGGATGATAGATTAGGCTAAACTCAGCTTATTACGTTTTGTAGCGTGTGCTGTTCATATTTCAGGAACAGGGCCTGTTGATTACTTTCTGGATTATTAGTCATATAATATTCGCTTTAAAAATGGCAATAACCTAAAACAGTATAGTATCCTAAAAAATCATTAGAAAATGTAACTTCTTTCTTACTTCATATTTTATTGTTATGTGCCATATCAGCTAGTTGATTTTTTTATAGGAGAGGGGGCAAACGAGAATGCGGCTCACCTGATGGTAAGTGACTACCGCCGCCCATGAACAACTGCAACACCAGGGGAATCGCAGATGCGTTGCCGGTCTTTTAAAAAGGAGTTTTAAGTAAGAGTAAGTAGCTCTTTTCTTGAAGGTCCCTAAGTCGTATCAGTCCGGAAAAATCGCTGGCGGTAATCGATTCCACAAGAAAGTTGTGCGAGGGACAAAACGTCTTCTAAATCGCACAGTGGTGGACCGCCAATCATCCAGATGATATGGATGGTATCGCAAGATTTGTCGCGATGTGCGATGGTGAAATTGAGCGGCTGGAATTAGTCCGAACAATTCCTCAAAGCACTCCCCGTGGTAGATGCGATAAAATACGCAAAGAGATGCAACATTTCTACGCAGTGCCAGTGAGTCAAGTCGATCGGAAAGAACTCGGTCATCGGCGATTCGAACCGCTCTGCGCTGGATGTGGTCTAGTGGAAAGAGCAGGCACTGGGGAGCCCCTGCCCAGAGATGGGAACAGTATTCCATGTGAGGCCGAACCTGTGCCTTATAAAGTTGCAAGCGATGTGCCCGCATGAAATACTGTCCCGCTCTGCTGAGCACGTCAAGCTTTTTAGAGGCCAATTTGGCCTTCTCTTCCAAGTGACTACGAAACTGCACGTCACTCGATATGTCGACACCGAGGATACCGTTACTGGCTGAGGCAACAAGGGGAGTGCATTGAAACTGAGGAGATATGACAAAGGGATTCTTTTTAGCGGTAAACGCTGGGGATTGAACTGGACTAGATTTAGTCGTCCCCAGTCTGAGACTTTGTACAACAAAGTCACGACTTCAGACACAAGTGTGTTCCGGTACTCGGTGACGTTTTCCCGAGAAATATTGGCACGACCGATGTATAAAGCATCACCAGTGCTGTCGTCTGCATAGCAATGAATGTTACCGGTTTGCAACATATCATTGATATGCAGAAGAAACAGCGTTGGTGATAGCACGCAGCCTTGTGGAACACCATCGTTAATGGGCTTGTAATCGGAGCATGCACCGTTTCGTAGATCGGAGCATCAAGGTCGAAGGACCTTGATGCTCCGATCTGCATGAGAACTGGTGATCCAATTGCACAACTTCTCGGGAAGCCCATAGGAAGGCAGCTTCGAAAGAAGCGCTTTGTGCCTAACCCGATCGAAAGCCTTCGCTATGTCCAAACTAACGGCCAACGCCACCCCCTTGGACTCCACTGCCTCCGCCCATCTATGAGTGAGGTAGACCAGATGATCACCAGCTGAGCGACCTCGACGGAAACCGTACTGGCGGTCACTAATCAGCTGGTGATCCTCAAGGTATCGCATAAGCTGGTTGTTAATAATCGTTTCAATTACTTTGGAGAACGAGGAGGTGATAGCGATAGGCCTGTAGTCAGCACAATAGGCGGGATTCCATCAGGCCCACTGACTTGTTGACGTCCAGGGAGAGGAGTGCTTTACGCACCAAGCGCTATGTAAACAACACTTCCCGCATGAAGTACTCACACCGCGGGGTGGTCGGCGGTGTGTTCTCCCCGTCATCTAGAGTCGAGTTGGAAGCAAAAAGAGAGCCTAGCAGGTCGGCTTTCTCCTTTGCGTCATGGGTCAGTGAGTCGTCCACCCTGTGCAGAGATGGCAGAGATGGCTTAAAGAAGTTCCCTTGGACAGCCTTGGCGAGAGAACATAATGCACGTGTTGGTGAAGGTAGGCGAACTAGTTTCTCGCCAATTCTGCCGACGTGCTCTGACTTTGCCCTGGCAATGACACTTTTGAAGGACCTGGAGGCGGAATTATACTTCTTTTTAAGAGCGCTGGTGTTTACATCCCGGGACGTTGATGCGTCAGCCCAGGCCTGGTAGCACTCCTGCTTATAGCGTGATGCTATTTTACAGGAGCGACCAAACCATGGCTGGGATCTGCCTCCGATGGGCACCACAGAGGATGGAATAAAGTTCCATACCCTGAAGTACCACATCAGCAACAGAATCGGCAACAACGCTGGGATCTTCCAGCGAGAAGCAAACCCGCCCCTAAGGGTAGGATGCAAAAAAAGACCGCATCCCATCCCAATCCGCCGACCTATAGTCTATAGTGGCACCGTACTCCGGATTAGACAATGGTCCGAAGAGCCCAGTGGGGCATCGACGGAGACCTGATATCCGTCCGGATGAGAGGTCAGCAGAAAATTTCAACTTACCTTTCTCCTCTTTGTTTTTTTAAAAAAGTCATCCCAGGATCCAAGGATCCTTACGTTTTCTTATATATCATGAAGTTGTATTGAATGCACAAATCGCATAAAACCAAACTTGCAGGTGATAAAAATACATGTTTCGTACTGAAATCGGGCCCGCGGCCTGCAGCGCTTTATTCTTATATATCTTAACGCTTAACTATTACGATATCAAGAGCAAGACGTTTGCTACTGCATTGACAACGCTTATACGTGTAATAGTGTAATAGTGTTAGACTAACAGCTATTAAAGTATGTGCGAATAACCGTTTTTTCTTGCTTTTTTCGGCGTATATGCCTACAGACAGTCGAGATAATTTAATTGAGTTTTCAGAGGTATTAAGTGAAATAGACGCTGTAATTGAGAGTTGCGAAATTGAATCTGCTATTATTCTTGGTGATTTTAATGCGCATCCCGGAGAATTGTTTTATAATGAGTTATCCAATTTCTGTGAGGAGCGGAGGTGACTCTGTGCAGACGTGGTCAATTTAAAAATAACATCAGATACATACACTTATATAAGTGACATTAAAAAGGACTGCCGAAGATGGCTTGATGACTGTCTAGTAACAGAGGTAGCTTGGCAATGTGTATTAAATTGTAAGGTATGCTTTGATGTTTATTGGTCAGATCATTTTCCATTGGAAGTAGATTTTAAGATAGGTAAGCTGCCATTTAAAATGCAATATAAGGAAAAATTTTGTAACAAGGTAAAGTGGGGTGAGAGGGGCGTCGATCAGATTAAAATATATAGTAAAATATGTCATAATAATTTAAGAAATGTTGATTTTCCAGTAGAATTTAGGTATTGTGCGGATAAAGTGTGTAAAAATGTAGATCATAGTATAGTAATTGATAGGTTATGTAAAAATATTGTTTACATCTTAAGAGAAGCTGCTGAAACTAGCTATGAGATAAGAAAGCGTAGTAAACACAAACTAGTTGTTGGGTGGAATAGGTACGTAAGGGAGGTCCATCAGGAGGCACGATGCAGTTTCCAAATGTGGTTGTTGTATGGTAAGCCCAGTACGGGTTATGTCTATGAGAGAATGCGAGAAGCTAGGAAGCTACTCCCCACAAGTAAAAAGATTTTAAGAGTTTTTGGAAACAAACTAAGAAGCTGGAAACTGCATCACGCTTACCTGTGAGTGTCGATGGTAAGAGTGAGACCGATCATATTGCAGAAGTTTTTAGGGAACACTTCAAAGTGGAATCTCCATTGGAACCGATGCAGTGGGTGTTCGATATTGAGGAGAAATCGTGCAGTGAATTTGCCAGATTTACTGCGAAAGAAGTCGCAAATGTCTGACACGTGGTAAATCACCTGGCTATGATGACCTCAGTATTGAGCACCTGCAGTACGCGGGATTTCATCTGCCTAGGGTATTGACTATGCTCTTTAATGTATGTATAGGGCATGAATACTTACCTCAGGAACCTATGAAGACCATAGTGGTACCAGTTCTAAAGAATAAGACTGGGGATGCAGCCGACAAGAACAATTACAGACCGATCTCGCTAGCTACTGTGATAGCGAAAGTATTGGATGGTTTGCTTGATCGTCAACTAAGTAAACATATACATGTACATGAGGCACAGTTTGGGTTTAGACCTGAACTGTCCACTGAAACTGCAATCTTACGACTCAAACATACCGTCCAGTATTATGTTACGAGAAAAACGCCTGTCTACGCCTGTTTTTTGGACTTGTCGAAGGCATTTGACCTGGTCTCGTGCAACCTATTATGGGATAAGCTTCGTAGGGAAACGAGCACGCCTAGGGAGATAGTCGATATATTAAGGTATTGGTACCACAACCAATCAAATAATGTAAGGTGGGGGATGCTCTTACTCGAGTGAATATAGGTTGGAGTGCGGAGTGAGACAAGGAGGGTTAACTTCACCGAGGCTCTTTAACCTGTATATAAATGGATTGATCGATGAACTTAGCAGAACTGGCGTTGGATGCTCAATAGATGGTAACTTCGTGAACAGCATCAGTTACGCAGACGACATGGAGTTGCTGAGCCCTTCGATTAGAGCACTCGAGGTATTAATACATTTATGTGAGAGATATGCAGAAGCTCATGGCCTCAGGTATAACTCCAAAAAGAGTGAACTACTTGTTTTCAAGGCAGGGAACAAAGAACCCAAGGCTATCCCACTGGTCAGGCTTGGAGGAGTACCTTTAAATAGAGTCACCAAATTTAAATACCTGGGGCACTGGGTTACAGATGACCTCTCTGATGACATGGATATTGAACGAGAAAGCAGAGCATTGGCAGTGAGATGCAACATGCTGGCTCGC